AATAATCGTTGTTATTCAACAAGCTCGCAAGAAAGAATTTGTGAGACCAGGAGAACTCTGCTGGTTGTGCTTTCAAAAGCAGCAGGCCTCTTGGGCCAGCGTTTGTTTGTTTTACTTATAACAAGTGAGAGCTAATTGCAAACATTGGTTCCCCTCTCCCCTGGTTAAAAAAACTAGTGCGTGGCCTAATGTACAAGAATCACACATCTGGCTTTCAGAAATGTCAGAATTAGCACCAGCCGGGTCCCAGCGCCCAGACTGCAAAATGTCCTCAGTGCCTGCAGAGGACAGTACAGAGGGGAGAAGCAGCAGGTCAGAGAGGGGCGGATTAACTAATGTCTACGGTCACTCCTCTTGTAATCAGTGCCCGCGGGAGGAGGGGGAGGAGTAGGCTTGGTGGCAAGAACTATCCAGGGCACTGGTGGCAAACACTAGGCCTGAGGGCCAAATCTGGCCCTCCGCCTTGTTTTATCCAGCCTGGCACCTTGTTTCTACCCGGGGGCAGTGCCCACCTGTCGCTTAACTGTTAAGGAATAATTACACTTACACAGTCCTAAAATTACATCTGGCCCTTGGAAGGCAACCAGGAGGCTGATGTAGCCCCCAGTGAAAATAAATTTGACACCCCTGTTCTAGGGGTTGGGATGCAAATATGAAGGTCTGTCCAGAAAGTATCCAGCCACATCCTATGCAAAACAGACATTTCTTGAAGAAGATACAAGATATAAGAAACATTGTACACGGGACAATGACACCTCAGTCCCTTCAAAGTAGGTACCTTGGGACCTCACATAGTTCTCCCAATATCTCTTCCAATGTTCAAAACAATGCAAAATTCTTTATTGGAATCACATTGCAGTTGTGCAATGTTGTGCAACTGTGAGACAGTTGAATCACAATCAGCTGCCCCGTTGTGTTTTCCTGAATCTCATCAACTGTCTAAAATCTCTTCCATTTCAAAAGTGATCTTAGCTTCATGCCAAGATCCTATGTCAAAATCTTGGACACAGTAGTGTTTTTGGAACCCCCAGATCAGTTTATAGTTCTCACACTGTCAATCACCGATCTTTGTTGATTGTAGCCCAGACATGGTCAACATTCTCAGGTGTTCTGGGAATGTTCAAACTGAATGCAAAATTTGATGCAGATTTGTTGCTCAGCCATTTTGAATGTGACAGCCACACAGACACATGCTCACTCAACAGCATCTACCACCCCACTGACTAGTACAGTGAAGTTGTCATTGTTCACACACGCACATTCCAGTCTGCTCTCCTTGGCTGCCAGGTTACATCGGTATCATGCAAACTGTTCTCATTATATTAACAGTGGCTGGACTTTTCTGGACAGACCTCATATGAACATAAATAACGTGTTGGGTAGTAACAGCACTCTGCAGTGAAATAAACATAAGGGAACTCGGTAGTAATGAGGGAGTGACTTTTAGTTAAGGGGATAGGGAAGGTCTCTCTGATAAGTTGACAATAAGAAAAAGCCAGTAGGAAATAAGGGAACCAGCCTGATTGGGTAGCACAATTGGCTGGAGCGTCATCCCCTACACCAAAAGGTTTCAAGTTCGATGCCCAGTCAGGGAATATAACTAGGTCGTGGGTTTGATCCCTGGTCAGGATACGAAACAATGGACCACTGTTTTTCTTGCACATCAATGTTTCTCTCTATATATCTCTTTCTCTCTCTCTCTCATCAATAAACATATACTCTGGTGAGGATTTAAAAAAACAAAGAAATGAGGGAACTAGATGTACAAGGTGCAAATGTCCATCCAAGGAGAAGGGACATGCCCGGTGCGCTGCAGGAACAGCCTCACCAGGAACCTTGGAGTGAAGGCTCCCTGTGCAGCCTCCTCCTCTGGGCCCGGGACCTCAGGCTCCCACTCTCCTTTGCATGGGACCCACCAACAGGATTCCACTGGGGACACTGAGGTTCCTCCCCCGTCACACAGCTAGCCCTGTGGGATAATCAGAGGACTGGAGCAGCCTCAAAGAACAACCAACCATCTAATCCAAGTGATATGTTATGTAAAAAAAGATACAGACTCTTTGTTACGCATCATTTTTGCAGGGCACAAGACACTACAGAACAATCCTCGAGCATGCGTGCTGGGGGTTGCCCAATAAGGAAAGACACAAAGATGGCAGAGAGTTCCACCAGGCTTTGCTTAGAGCAGAGGTAGGAAGGCAGACTGCGGAGGAAGGGCAGTTATCCCTGCAGCTCTGGAAACAGTCAAACACACAAAACCACGTGGTGCACGATTTGAGGACTTTGAGTTCCCGTAGTCCCGCCTACTGACTCCAAGGACCACTGGTTACTGCCTGCGTGGCTCAGTTCAACGGGCTGACCTCAGGGGCTGGTGGAGGTTTGGGAACTACAGCTTTGGAGCCCTGCCTTGAACCTCCAGCACCATGGAGGTTAAGAAAAAGGAATACACTAAATAATTCTGTATTCTTCCTTTTCCTTTTTGGCTGCTAGAGGGGTCTCCACCCGAACTAGCAAACGCAGAGCACATGCGTTCAACCTCTCTTCCCCCTCAGCAGGCTGACCTACGGTGCAGCCTCACAAAATTCCCAACACCTCGGTCCCAGTCCCCGCCGATGATGGCACCCGGCACATTGGTGCATTTGCCATCACAGCCTCGTTCTCCCTTTATATCGGAAATGGTGTAAACAACCCACCAGCAGAGGGACACGTGGTTTGATATTTTTTTAATCCAGTAGATAATAAATTCTATGAGATTTTTGCATATTTCCTTATCCTGTCTCAGTAGTTGTTAGGCTGAGGATAAGGGTAGAGATGGTGGTCAGAAAATCAATTTTCCATTTGAAACCAAGGGGCTGATTTGATGCCTTCATCTCAGGTTCAGAGCAAGGATCCAAAGTAGACATGAAGCTACTTAGTAATAATTCACAGATCTACGTGTGCACACACACCCACACATGCGCATGTATGAGCACGTGTGTGTGTACAGGGTTACTGGCGAGCAAAGTCTGGAGGCAGACGGGAGTGATAAAGGAGAGAGATAAGACTTGAAGTCCTATGAGACCTGAGAAACCATTCTGGTCTAAGAAAAGTAAACCTTGTAATAATATCAAAGTTGAACCAACAAGTAGGCCAATAAAATGCTTTTATTATTGGCCTTATTTGGACCTAGTCCACATTTCTATTTAATTGTTCCTCTCATTTTCTTGGGTAATAATTATAAGGCTCACTTTTCAAATAAAATAAAATTATTCCTCTGCTCCATGCAGACTGGCTACAAAGCAGGTTAAGGCAAGTATCTCTAAATCCTTGTTCTAGTCAGTCAGCCTTGGAGGTTCAGTGCATGACCTTGGTAATGGAGACCAGACACTTGGGATGGTGGGTCACTGAGCCTCTCTAGGCTGTTTCCTTGTTTACTAGATAAAGATATGGGACTAGTTAATAGAAGATAACATGTCTGTGGGGTGTGTGTTTGCACATGAGTGTGGTGTGAGGTAAAGAGTGGAGTAAGCATTTTGTGGGATAAACTGGTAATTAGTTCCAATATGTTCTACAGTGAATCTCTAACTCTAACCTGGTCACTAACCTCTCTGCTATTGGTTGAGGGCATCTAGCAAGGATGAGACAGAAGACTGAAAAGTCCATTACTGCAGTGTGTAAGAAATCAAAGCAAACATCCTTCCAATGACTCAGTAACACTTCCTGATACTCGACATGATGGAAACCTTCACTTTGTCTGCACTCACTGGGGCTGCATCCTCTTGGTCTGCAAAACAGGCTAATAAAGCCCATAAATGAGAAATGACTTATTTCGTACGGAAACAATAAATTGTTTCCAGTGTTAAAAATTACTCAGAAACATATACATTACTGTCTGTGTTTTTAAGCCATTTTCACGAAACTTGAGATCCAGTCCCTGACTTCCCCTGCTTTCTTCTGTGTCTCGGAGGCTCATTCCTGCAAACTTAATTTGTTAGGGTCATGTGCTCCATGGCTTCTGGGTACATTCGGCCAATGGGAAGCGCCTGTGAGAGATTAGGGGGCAGGGAGAAGCCAGGGCACTCCTCCTCCTCCCTGCTCCTGGCACTGAGGGGAGTCTCTAGCGGTAATTCCTCTGTGGTTCTACCTCCTTTTGGAAAGCCAGTCCCTCTGTGGTCACCACTCCTGATGCGGCCGCCTCCCCCACGGTTACAGCTCTCTCTGGGGGACTCCCCCAACACCCACCACCTCCTCCCTTTGAGCCTCCAGCCCTGCGGGCAATAGCGGCATGTTCCTGCAGCAGCTCCTTTCTGTATTGCCTCATGGTGCCTCCTTCAGCTCTTCCAACCTTTGCAATGAATTCCCGCACTTGGCCCTGCTTTCCTGAGAGGACCTTGAGTCTCTTGAGGGGACTACAGGCTTTATAGAACAAATGTCATGTTTACGAGTATACAGACTCCAGAAAGAGTACTTGGCAGATTCATCACTTCTTTAGTGCCAGGGAAAATCTCTCAAAGGTTTCATTTGCCAGCCCATTTAGTACTAGCTGCACCAGACGCGTGTTAGAGTGACGGAAAACTGGTTGGAGAGTTAGAAAACCGTAATTCACTACCCAGTCATGTGTCCTTCGCAAGCACCTTGGAGCCAAATGAGCCTGGTCATTCACGTCACGGAGGGATCAGAGTTTGCGTGGCCGGCCTGACTGCCCATTAGGCTCAAACACGGAAGGGCACGGAAATACGCTTTAGAAACTGACGTAGTCCTTGCATCTCTAAATATATTCCTGTTATCGACGGGGCACTGTTGACTTTTGTAGGACAAAAAGCACTTCCCACGCGACCCAATTTTGAATTCTTAGCTGATTAGCACCAAATGCACTAACACAGGAAAAGCGCGTAGGCTGGTGCCTGGCACATCATGAGAGCCGTATGGGGCCCAGCGGTGATTTCTATGCTGGGCCGTCCTTTGCATCATGAAAACATGTCGGTCCCCAAAGACCATGCGGGGGGGCCAGGCCAACCTACCGATGTCGAGGACCCGCTGCTTCGCCGTGTGCTGCCGAGAGTGCCAGTACTTCCAGTATTTCAGCTGCTCATCTCGGTTCTTGTCTTCACTGAAGACCACCATCACCACACTCTGCGGAGGGAGAATACCGGGATTTACTTTCTGTTCAGAGCCTCAGCTGCTTCACATGGTCTCCAATTCTGGAGGTTCGACCAGCAGGATGTTCCTGTAATGTTGCTTTTCTTGCTTTACAAAGCCCAGAGAAGCTCAGTTGTATGGTTTGTTTCCTTTTTAAAATGAGCCTACTTAAAAAATAATGGGAAAGGAGAACAGCACATAGAAAACAAGAATCCTACATCATTTTTACCAGGTCAGAAACAACCAAATTAACCAATTACCAGCAAATTTAATATTTTGTAAGGTGAGTAAGAATATCAAAATTTTTTTTCTTGTACTGAAGACAAGCACATTTTTGAAATTTTGTGACCTTAAGCACAGAATCTGGCAGCATTTGTAAGCAAAAAATTTCTGTTTCTGGCCTAATTAAGTGCCTCGGGCTGGAGCATTGGATTAATGAGACATACTAAACTAATGAGAGGAATACTAAAAGATGAGTTCATATTGATGAATATAGATCTAAGCCACAGATATTTCATAGATCATAAGATACAAAGTCAACTACATTATTTCTTTCCATGTAATATGACAGATTTTAAAAATGAGCTTGAGAAACTTAAGAATACAAAACCCCCTTTGAGTTCTAAATTATAAACAGCCTCTTTAAGCTAAATACACGTTAATTCACTGTCATTTAGAAGATGAAGAAGGTACCAAAAACAAACAAATAAACTCAAAGAACCCTTTAATTACATCACTAGGGATATGGCTCTCCCTTCTCGCTCCATATCTTGCTGGATGGAGAAGTGAGCAGCTGTCCTTCCTTGTGTTTCTCACCAAGACAAAGCCAGAAAACCCAGGTGGTGATGTTACTGAAAGGTAGACATAGGCAGGCCAGCCAGCCAGTGCCCGGATCCTCTTCCTTCTCTTCTACCTCATTTGTTATCTCAGATGGGAATCTGGGATGTGGTAAATTCGGGCTGCCCCGTGATCCCGGCCCACGCCACAGCATTCCCCTCGTGGTGTGCTGAAGAGCTAGGGAGGGGGAAACTATGGATAAAATAAGGTGGGGTGGGCTCCATGCACACAGCAGCATAAATCATTTTGCAGCAGGGCAGGGAAGTCCTTCAACCTCTTTCAGAGCTCTGTTATAATTTTCCTTTTCAGTAGAGAGGGATTACCAGTTCCCTCCCTCCCTGGCATTCGTGAGAATGCCAGAAGCTGGCAGGCTTCCAGGGCACTTTCCTTTCCCACAAATCGGACTAACACTCATGAGTGTGAAAGTTCCTCCAAGTCGCTCCTAGTAGGGATTGTATCATGCCTCGCCCCTTGGCCCCTGCATAAGCACTGGGCTGCAGAAGGCTTTTAGACAATGCTGCGTTGGGTCTGGGGACACAGATGAATTGCATCCTCCTTTACAGAAGAAAACAGCAGCAAATACGTAGAAATATGTCCTGGCTTACAGCTACTTACTTAAAAAATGAGAATCAGTTGATTGAAAATGACAACAGCAGCCAGGTAGCACACGGGTCATGAATGAAGCCAGAAAAATTTCTTGGATACAGTCAGAAAGCCTGTTCCAACCACGTCCCTTCCCCAGGGTTTGTTGGTTACCGATTAAAATGATAAACTACAAGCCAGTAAGTTCTCTTGCCCCAATTCATGGACATTTGTTCTAGAATGACTTGTTTTGGAATTTTTTCCCATGCCCTTCCCACATGACTGTGGGGTAACAGCTGCATTCAGCTGAGCCCTCTGTGGATCACCGAGGAAATGCAGTGCATACCCTGACTTTGCTGATTGGGTGTCGGAAGCATTTGTTGTCTCCCGTCTCACTGAGCGTTACGGCATAAAACTGTCCCTTGTTGAGGTAGGTCATGGGGCCCTCCCCCTGCTTCTGACGGAGTGATTTGGTGGCTTCCAGGGTGTACTGAAATGTGCCGCTGTGAACAGAAAACAAACAAGGGTCAGATTCACTCACCTGGACATAACTGACTTCCTGATCAATTGCACATTGATATTTTTGGTATGAATATTAACCAATATTTACTCTATTTCAGAGACAAAAGCACAGCATATTGGCAACAGAGATGAGACCAGACCAAAGGTTGTTGCTAGCTCAATGTATACCACATTGCTAGCAGTGGTCAAGAAACCAGGTGGTTTAGAAGGGGACAGAGTCCATGTCGTGCCTGTCTGATCGTGCTAGGTCGTGCCAGCACAACCTCTGTCAGGCTTAGCTGGCAACAGGCAATGCCCGAAGCGTAAGGATTTATAGAATTTGCCACTTCTATCCTAACAACAAACTAAACATGTGAACACTTTTGTTCAACTCATGTACATACAACTCACCCTCTTTCTGTCTGACCAAGATATTAAAAATCTATTCCACTTGTAAAAACCTCAAAAGGTGAAAACCCCAAACTCAAACACTCACTACTAAAAATCTAGTTCCACAACAGGGAGTATTTTTTTATTTGTCTTGTTCTGTTTTTTAAGCCTGCAGAGGAACACATGACAGGGTTGCGGCTCTACACCAGGGGTGTGCAGAACAACGGTCCATGCGCCAGAGCCAGCTCACTGCCTGTTTCTGTACATAAAGTTTTATTGGCAAACAGCTACGTTCATTCATTTATTGAATGACTATGGCTGCTTGTCTGTGGTTGCTTTCACACTGCATGGCAGACTTGAGTAGATATGACTGCACAGCTTGCCAAATCTAAAACATTTACTATATAGCGTATTACAGAAAAAAATGTGCAAATTCTTGCTCTTAATAATTTCCCTCATATTTTAAATACATGATTTAACTTAAAAAAACAAAACACTCATTTTCCCAACTTTAAAGAAGATATCAATTATTTTAAATGAACCGCAAATATGAATCATAATCTTTCTTAACATGCTCATTCAGAAGGACTGATTCTGCTACTTCTCAGGATGCCACATAGTGATGATCCAATAACAACGTGCAGTGTTTTCTGAATCATCAGAATCTCTTCATTGAGTCTACCTATTTTTTAGCTCTTAAAATGGCCTACTTACAAGATTATGGGGGTCTCTTGCTTTCTATGTTGAATATTTTTACAATACTTAACTTGTTAACTCTTATAGTGAGAAAAAATTTGAAGAACAGAATCATATTCCTTCTACATGATAAAGATCTTAGGCTTAAGCTGATAAACAAAACAAATTCCAGAATATGTATCTTAGAACAAGGTGGGGTATAAATCACTCAAGACAAAATCAATTCCATTATCATTTTGTCTGGAAAAGGCAATTTTCATATAGCCATGGAATCATAAAATTTGAGACCTGGACAGGATATTAAGAACTGCCTAGACTAGTAGCTTGCAACTTGTCTAGGACACAGACTGCTTGAAAAACAAGAAAAAAGCTCAGGAACAACTATAAAGGACACGTGGACAAAACCAAGCGGGGTGGAGTCAGGGGAGAGAGGTGGGGTGCGGGGGAGGGGTGGGGGTAAGTGCAGACAACTGTACTTGAACAACAATAAAATAATTTTTTTAAAAAGAAAAAAAGCTGTGAACCCTCTTCCCAGAAGAAAAACAGATATAAATATAAATGCATTTGAATATAATTCCAGGAGTTTGTGTCTCCCAAGCTTATCTATAACAGAGGCTAAGAACCACCTTCCTCATTCCACGGCTGAGCAGCGGCTGAGAAACTCGCTCACTCCGAGGCACTGACAGCAACAGAAAGAGAAACCAGGTCAAGGGGCTAATAGGCCAGTGCTTCCGTGCTCCTTGCCGACCTGACAGCTAATTACGGTGTGAACTGGGTTGATTTATAGCGTGCAAATTATATATGCATTCTCACAACTTAAAAGGTCATTTGGAACTCTAGCCTTCTCCCCGCTCCCTTCTCCATTCCATCAAATTCTGACTAGTGTGATCTGGGGGGGGGTGATGAGGGAGCCTGAGGTTGGAGCAAGACCACCAAGGACCAGGAGGACCTCAAGTGGAAACAGAAACTAGAGTAGGGAAACACATGTAAAAGCAAAGGGGTGAGAAAGACAAGGGTTAAAGAAGGACCAGCACATACAAGGCCCTAACCACCTTCATAAGGAATTTGTGTTTGACTCAGAAATGGTAAAGTCGCCGGTCAGTTTTGTGAATGCCAGAGATAAATACATTCCTTGCCATTCTCTTCTGTCTTCAGGCAGGGTCACAACCAAGTTCTTCGAACATCTGTCCCTTTCAACCTAGGATGTTCTTCACTCTCCTTCTTTTTCAAGAAAACTCCTGCTGCTAACCCTTCAAGATCTAGTTCTGAGTCCATCTTCCCGCAAAACTTTCCAGCCACACCTACACACTGTCCCACACGCTGTAGGTCCTCTCAGCACCGTTTACGGATCTCTGTAGCAGGACTCACCACTTACCGAAAGTATTGCCATTTGTCCATCACCAAAATTGTCTCCTCCAACAGTTGACGGGCCTTTTGTTAGAAGTTACATCTTATCCCTAAACCCTATCGCTGGCCCATGGGAGGCACTGGAGGGTGGACTGGCTGGCAGATATGTGCAACGTGGAATGGATGGGGAAAGAAAGTGTTGACAGGGAGATTAGTTATACTGCAGTAGTTCTGGAGAATGTGAGTAAGAGCACATTGCAAAGGACAGGACAGATAGAATAGAACGCTGCACAATTGGCAATGAGGTGAAAGTGCAGGAGGAAGGCAGGAAGATCCTTACACCTCTAGAGTGGTAGCTGGAAGGATGGTTATATCCTTAGCCACAACAGGAAATAAAAGCAGAAGGCCAGATGTGAAAGAAGTGGAGAAGGAAGGAAAGGAGAGGGAAAGAAAGACAAGGAGTTCGGTTATACACAGGTCGGCCCGAAGGCACCTAGGTTCCAAGGAACATCTAAGAATTGATGTGCAGTCAGCAGAAGAGCAAAGACAGGGTAGGGGCCTCAGAAAATTGGTCAAGACTGGAAGTAGCAATGTAGAAGTCATTTATATAGAGAAGAGAATTGAACACAAAGGAAATCAGACTATTCAATGAACGTATACAGAAAAAAAAGGTTTAAATGTATAACTGGAAGGGGTACATTTAAAGGCACACCGTTCATCAGTTTTCAGAGGCATCTCCTGGTACTTCCTACCTTGATGCCTGGTCATACATGTATTCCTCAGCCCCGACTGAAGCACTCCGAAATTTCTACAAAATTTCAAAGGTATAGAAATTAAAACAAAGAAGTGAGTCATTTATACAAATTTTTTAAAATTATAAATGTGTCCACACTCTTTTTTTCTCACTGTAGCAAGGAAGTTATACATTTGGTGGTATTACATTTTCAACTACATTGAAGACAGTTGTCATCTGCGCACAAAACTCACGTGTCACCTGCACATTCAGAATGACACTCAACAAAACACATCTGTCCCTGGTGAGTTATTCACATGTCTGCAGGTGTTCTTAAAGTGTTTGCAGGCACTGGAAGCTGTTTCTTCAAACATACACAGCATCTCTTCCATTTTCCATGATCCCCAGTGCTTATTAGGGAATCCCTTATTCCAAAAGTCACGGATTCTGAGTTACTGAGCCAGTAGTTACAGAGAGGCCACATATTATAATACAAGCATCATCATAGAGAGGTTTGGAGCAGTTTTGAGAGTGAGATTGTCTAGGGTCGAGTTCTATCTCTTTTGCCTGATATCTGTGTAAACTGAGGCAAGTGCCATATTTTCTCCATCCGTAAAATGCCTCCTTATATTGATTAGAAGGATTAAATGTGCAAATAAAAGTACTGAGAACAGTACCTGGTACACAGTAAGCATTGTATGTGTGTATTAAATTCTGTTAACAGTTATAACTTGATATTCAGCGCCCTTCGCTAAGATGCTCATTAACATAATATTGTAAGAGTAAGCTTTGGGGGAAACTCTAAGTCTTAGCATTGTGTAAAGAAGTTCGGGTCCAGAGATGTTCAGTTGTTGTATATTTAGTGCAAGTACAATGAAATCTGCTACATTTCAAACCTTTTAAAAAACAGATGCACAAAAGCCCTGACTCTTGACCCTGAAATGAACATAATAGAATATCTATGAGAAAGCATTTTGTTGACCTTGAAACACCTGGTCCTTCCACTGTGAACTTTCCTCAAGTGCCTCTTCCTAAGAAATAACCTTCCTGATTCTCCTTTCTCTGCTGTAAAAATATTTTGACCAGTAATCCAAAGGTTTCCTTCTTAGGAAAGGATTATTCACAGCTATTTTACAAACTTCCTCCACAATCCCTAACCACCACCTCTAGAAGTCAGTGTACTCTTACATCACAGCTTATATGTATATACTTATGGTCTTTATTTTTATCCAGTCTTATGAATTCCTTGGATCTAAGAAGATGGTTTGCCCTTCAAAGTTCACCCAAATGCATTCCAGGAATAATTTCACAAATGCTTGTTGAATAGTTTAATAGTCATGACAAGATCAAAGATTCAGATTTATGTTTCTTTTACAATCAATCGAGAAAGCATTCAACAGGAATTTTCTGGGGTTTCATCTTCTTGGTGCCAGGAGAAATAGAGAAAAACTGTAAGACACTGTCCTGTCCTCAGACAGATGAAAATTGATGGAGGAGAAGAGTAAGTTCACGTGAAAAGCAACAACAACAATAGACACACAAATACAGCAAATGACTAAATATGTGGAATCTTTCATTAATGCCTGCAGGTGTCCTGACTGGAAAATCACAGGGTAGGCATTGCCAGAAAGGGGAGATCAGCAAAATTTTAGGAAGGTTTCCTGGAGATCGTGGACCTTGATATGACCCTTGGAAGCCAAAAAGAACCTGGATTAACGAAAGAAATTGAAATAAAGTAATCCAGGTGAGCTAGGACCACCGTGATTCAAGACGAAACGATGGGCACAGATGTGGTACATACTGGGTTGGCCAAAAAGTTTGTTACATTTTTTTCCAACCAATGGCTCTAGTAGTGCTTAGTTGTCTCTAACTTCATTTGAAATAATTTTGTTAGATTGTATTTGACATTTATCATATGAGCGTGCATTATTAAAAAACTTATCAAAATTGGTGAATTTTTGTGCAGCCATTTTAATACTGAAGATGGAAGAAGATATGTAACATTTTTGGTGTATTATGCTTTATTATTTCAAGAAAGGTAAAAATACAACAAACACAAAAGAAGATTTGTGTAGTATATGGAAAAGGTGCTGTGATTGAGTGAACATGTCAAAGGTGGTTTGTGAAGTTTCTTGGTACTAACAATATTTTGGCCTAATAATTCTTTGCTGTGAGGCTATTTTATGCATTGCAAGATATTTAGCAGCACCTCTGGCCTCTACCCACTGAAAGCCAATAGGGAGAGACAGCCAACGTACTCAAAATATCCAAATCAATAAAGTTGTTGGTGAAAATGAAAAGTATGCCTTTTGTTTTACAGAAAAATATAATGGACTTTTTGGCCAACCCAATACGTGAGGTCAAGGGCATGGACCTGCCCTGACTATGAAGGGAGGGCCTAAAAACCCAGGTCTTCACTGCCCAGTACAGTAGCCACTAGCCAAATGTGCTAAAGTTGGTTAGAATTAAATAAAGTTAAACCTTTAGTTCCTCAGTAACCAGCCACATTTCAAATACTAAAGGACACGTGTGGCCAGGGGCTACCCTATTAGATAGCACGAAAGAAAGTTTCCATTGTCGCATAAAGTTCCATTGGACAAGGCTGATTTGTGAAAGGTATCCACACATAGTCTAGTTAAAGATTAAAAAAAATGGAGTAGGAGGGTAGCATGATGAAAAAGGCATTTAGGGAAGTATTTCAGAGATAGAGGAGATGCATTTCCAAAGTCTTCTTTGAAGGAATATGTGGTGAACCAGTACTAATAAAGAGGGCCTTGAGTAAATGTATTGTTCACACCATAGAGCTCTGCAGCCTCCTAAAACACACTGGGCTCATACATTCCGTGCTTCTGATGCACCAGGTGGTGTGAGAAGGTCTGATAGACTGCAACTGTTCCCACTCAGAGAGACTGTCTATGCGCTGACCGAAATAAGGAGTCTTGCGCCAATAACTATGAGTGCACGTGAACAAGAACTCTGGAAAGAATAGTTGATATGTTTTAGACACAGAATTACTGTTTTCAAGTTTTAAATATTTCCCCTAATTCTGTTACATTATCATTATAATTAAAAAGTTAAATGTGGAGTCCACTTGGAAAACAGCATGACCCTTTATGAGACCCGATCACACTGGTGGGTCACGTGGCCCTAAATGATTGAGTATGAAGAATCAGAACCAAAAGGCTTAGGCCATTCTGGCTACAGTTACCAGTTTTCACAACTGAAAACCTTCTGATATAATTTGAAGGACACCTAAAGGCAGACAGACAGCCAACATGACCATACCTAACTATGATTGGCTGATGCGATGTAATGCATCTATATATTTCTTAATCATTGGGACCAAACTACTCCCTTCCTGATACCACTACACACACACACACACATACACACAAATCAGTCTCTGATAGCAAATAAACCTGTTAATTCAACAAGGGTCATAGATAGTTTCATAGCATTCCTAAAAGAAGAGCTAGATTATAGACAAATTTTCCTTAGTGAAAGTTACTTGAAGTGACTGAGCTCACATAATCTTATAACCTGTTGGCAATGCTACAGCTAAAGATCATAATAGAGCATTCCACTTATTTTATATCAGGTTGAAATACAATATGCAATGTAAACACTGATTTCCAAGACTAGGAGAGGAGCAAAAATATTTTAAATGTTCTAGATTCAGTGGGAATAATCTTCATATTTAGTTTCTGGTAAATTACTTTCTCGTGCACCTCAAAACAGAACCCTAAATACAATAGCTTCCTTTCACAAGCCTCTTTATCTACAACACAAACACAACTGATAACACAGCTCCCAAATAGCATGATGGTTCCGTTGACATTGGACCACATCCATGGACTCTTCTGTGACTAATGAAATATTTCTGCACCATGTAAGAAAAGCGGCAGTGGCAACTCTTTAGTGAAAATCCATGTACCTCATATTCCCATGTGGAGTGATTTGCTTTTCCTAAGGAAGCACCCCCAACTGCTTGAGGGCAAGTCAAATATTCAATAATACTACAAAAGACCCTACAAAGTTTCCTTCCTCAGTTAAAAAAAATCTGCTAATTACTTTAAGCAATACATCGTGGGAGGCTAAGGACACTAACTTTAAGACAATATTCTCATTATAAGGATATTGATAATTTGATCATAAAGCTACTGGAACTCAAGAATATAATAGCCTCTCAAGGGCAGGGAACTTATCAAGCCTCGCTCTGCTCATTGCCTGAGTTTGTAGAACGCACAGCCGGCACTCAGCACTGGCTGGTGCAGGACCGGAAGGGTTATTAGGGCAACGTGAACACCCTAACTTTCTACCACCATTGCAGAGAGCTAGTCTTTTTTATTCTTCTTCTCCTGGTCTGAAAGATAAAACATAATTATGGAGATGAAGGACACTCATATCTAGAAAAAAAAGATGTAGGAGTGAATCACTATCTTAAGCAATAGGACTACTGAGATCAGATGGTTCCACAGTGTCTCTGAGCACACAAAGACAATAGTTAAGGACACTGGTCCTGCAGGAAACAGCCTGCAGTGAGTGCTCTCTCTCTAACTTAGCGCAGTTTGACCATGGGCAGACTTCTGCTCTGCATGCCTTAGATTCCTCGTTTGCAAACAGAGATGACAACAGTAGTACCTACCTCATGGGGTTTTTGTGGGGATTAGATGAGTATATATCACTTAAAATGATGCCCAGCACACAGCAAGTGCTTGTTACGTGTTTATTGCTTTTACATAGAATTGTTTAGGGACGCAGCCTCAACCTCAGGTAGCTGCACTTTGTCCCCATGGGAACTACATGAGCAGCAGCTGCAAGGGTTTGGCACACTGCCAGCACACTCACTCCTCCTTAGGAAATCAGAAACCCTATGTTTTCCCCTTCTGCCATGGTCTTTTGCTGGCCCAGTGGACTGAAAAATGGGAAGCCAGTGGCCATCATCCCAAAGGCACAGGCACTGCACTTAAATGTCAGAGAAGCTGACTGAACAGATAAAAAACACATTACCTATTCTGGGTCAAAAACTAAAGCGATGATCCACAGTTATATCAGCAATCGGTATTACATATTATATATTGCGATGCATACTTACCATGAAGCACTACTTAGCAGTTAAAAAACTGAACTCTTACCACAAGCAACAACACGAATGACTCTCAAAAACATTATGCTAAGTGAAATAAGACAACAAAGAGGATTATGTACTCTATTATACCAAGAACATGAAATTTCAGAAAAAGTTAAACTATAGTGACAGAGGGCAGGTTCACGCTTGTGAAGAGGAAGGGAAAGGAGAGGGCTTCGAGTGCGAGGGGCATCAAGGAGACTTTTAAGATGAAGGGACTTTCTACGAGTCTGATGTTGGTTACACAACTGTATACAGTGCTAATGCTTCAGAGTGCGCACTTAAGCCATGTGACTTTAAAGCAAACAAGCCAGCAGAGATCAGTGTTTCTATAAATTCTATGGGCACATGAGCAGACTACGTAGTCTCTATAAGGTGCAAAGTACATATATACATACTTAGTTACTGAATATATACTTTCTTGAATACTCAATCAGATAAGGTTGTAGAGCTCTATTGTTTTTAAAAAGAATGGGCAAGCAACAACTTCAGCTACTGTTTGGGTGGTTACAAACTAGAAGAGGTCAGTAAAACTTTAAAAAGTAGGGAGTTTCCACACACAAAAAATCTCTTTATTCCTCATAAATATTTAACTTTAAGACTACAACTAAAACAAAGGACTCTATCACGTAACAGTAAAAACAAAACCAAAAAAAACATTCCTCCACACCCCTAGACCAATGGTGTATTAAAGCCTGCTTATAACGAAAGATACGAATGCATTTAAAAAATAACCGTAAATTTATAGTTTAATTCATTCATACCACTTAAAAAGTAAGTAGAGAAAAAATAGTGAGCCGGGGGCTCCGGCTTTAGGTTCTTGCTACCAGTGAAGGAGGAGGGCCTTACCTCGGTGGTCCCGTCCTTGAAGCTCTCGCTGTAAGTGCTGTCCGGGGTGCTGCGCTGGTCATCCTTGAGGTAGGTGCTGTGGCTGGCCATGGAGGGCACGCCGTACTGAGTTTGCTCAAAGATAACCACCCGCTGCTCCTCGCCATCTCCCCGGGGATAGTGCACGGGTGGGGCCATGAACACCGGCGTGAAATCTTCAGCTTTCACCACCGTGATTCCTGACACGGGGATGATGGTGGGGCCCTCGGAGACGGCCGAGCTATACGGCTCCCGTTTGGAATTCTCCAGGTGGTCTGGATTTAGGGAAAGGTTCACTGGAACAGTCTTTAGGACCTGCACTCGGTTTTCTCCTCCACTCAGATTGCTCTGGGCTTCGCTGGCGCCAAGACAGTTTCTGCGTGTTTAAACCCACCCGCAATAGGATAGAATTAGAAATATCATCATTATACAACTCTTAATAACATAACTGTTGCAGGCAATAATCCATGGATGCAAATGCATAATAATCAGAGGAAAGGTTGATGGTGAACTTCACAATGGGATGCAATGGACCTTTGCATCACTAGGACAGCTACGCATGAGCCTCATGGTATCATGCAATCATGAAAGTGCTATTATAAAAAATATTGACCTTAAATCTAAACAGCCTTTATGTCTAACTTCCAGCTCTCAGGAAATACGGGAGCTGGAAGAAGGACTCAGACAACACCACACAGAAGCAGTCAGACAAATCAGAGTACAGCCCATCTTACTGACCTGGCTCTTTCAATAAGTCAGAGACATGAACAAGGAAGTGGTAGGGGAGGCTGGTTCTAGATTAAAAGAGATTTAAAAGAGATAACAATCAAATACAATCTTGTTTGGATCCTGATCTGAACAAGCCAAAGAGGCACTGATGAAGCGAGGGATTTTGGAGGGGATCGAACGTGGGACGGCGTTAGCTGACATTAAGGAAGTGTGTCAACTTAGTAGGTGCAATACAGATTTTGAGATAATGTAATAAAATGTTCCTGGTGTTTTTAGAGATACAAAACACAACTAGTTAAAGGTGAAAAGACATGATGTACGGGTAACAGTATTTTAAATACTGTTACAATTTAAAAAAGAAAAGGAAAGAGAGACAAGGTAGAGATTAAGCAGGTGTAACAAAATGTCATCGCTGAATCTGGAAGACAGGATGGGTATTTGGTGGGTCATTATACTATCCTTTTTACTTCTGGATATGTTTGAAAGGTTTCAAAAGAAAACATTTTAAAATAATGTTTTAAAATGCTTTCTCACTTTTATTTATTAAAAAATGCAGGAGGAGAACCAGCATGCTAATTTGAGGGGAGGTAAGAAGGGTATTTTTCACTTTTCTGTGGGCTAAGCTAAAATTTAGGAATTGTAGGAAAAGTAAGAAGTGAGAAATTATCATTAAAATATTTCCATTGAATAAAGAAATAATGTGAGTTCACTGATAGCTTTAGCATTGAATTACTCTCAGGGCTTAAGGAAGTGGTGTAACTGGACTTACTCGAAACAAGATCTCTCAGATCTCAGACCTGCTGGCTGGGACAATGAAAAAGGAGAGGATTTAGAAAATTAATTCTTTCTGGACTAGGATGAAATATTGTCATTTATACTACATTCTAGGAGAGCACAAAAGCAAAGAGAGCCTTGTTTATGAAAGATTATTGTTGATCGCGAAATGATTTTAGCAGCAAAGTCCCTGTGGTCAGTAAAATCTGGGGCCACCTCTCACTTGTTTATGGATTGTTCTGATTGCTGTAGAGGAAATAAACATGTCCTGAATGGAGCCCTGTCTCTGATGTCTGCTTTTTTTTTTTTCACTAGTATGTTCTTTCTAGGGCTTATTGGCATCTCTCATGGAGAGAAATATTCTTTTTAAATTTTCATTTATTTATTTTTAGGGAGAGGGGATGGGAGAGAGAAAGAGAGGGAGAGAAACATGGATGCCTGAGAGAAACAGCAGTGAATTGCTTCTCGCATGCTCTCGACCAGGGACCTGACCCACAACTCAGGCATGCGCCCTGACCGTGTTCTGATGGGGAACCAAATCGGTGACATTTCAGTTTGCGAGGTGATGCCCAACCAACTGAGCCACACCAGTCAGGGCGAGAAGTTGCCTAAAAAAATTGGCTCTCCCAAGATTTGAGTTCCCTTGGCTCCTCTCTGTAAAGAAAGTCCATTAGCTTCTGAGCCTGCCTAACTCTCAAGCAGAACTTGCTATCTCAGCTTTGATTTTTCAGATAAAACTTCAAAGTGAAGTTTGAGGAAAGAATGGCTCCACATGAACAAAGCCAACAGAAAAATATCTAAACTTCTCTGTCACAGAGCTGTAGAAATCATTCTAGAAAAGAATCCTTTAAAGAATAAAATAGCAAGTCTACAAACATTCTGGCTTTAAGTAATAACCTGCTTTCACAGCCAAATCAATCAGTGAATCTGCATATAGGACTGACTAAAAATTTAGAAATTATGTTTAATGTGAATCCAGTGAGCTGGAGGATGCCAAAACCCAGACCACCCATTTACAGCAGCATTTCCTAAGCCCCATTATTTAGAATGTTTGCATGGAATGTTAATAGATGTTCCTCAAAGAAAGGAGTCCGTGATAAAATCAGTATTAAATCAAAACAAAACCACATTGCCATAACAAGACCACCCTGGCGGGTCACAGATATCATGACCCGGTAGAGACTCCCCAGGTGCTCCTTCACCTGTTCAATTGTAACCCGAACTTCTGAAGCTCACTTTCTGCCAAACCCTTCTGTGGAGGGTTAACTTTTAATGCTTGTGGAAAATGTCCTGCAAGGTGGGTGTGGAAATGTTGGTCTAGACGGATTAGCTACCAAAGCAATTACCCAGTTTCCACTCCTCTGGGCTTTGAACTAGCACAGTCTCAGTGGCTTTGCCAAAATATTCCAAGTTCACCAACTCCTTTATAGTTAAGAGTCCATTTTAGTCCAAATTTCTTAGTTTTTTAAATTCATGTAAAATATGTGAATTCTAAACAAGAAACATAAGTCCAAAGATTTTTGGTGGTCTTATAAACAAACTAATAAATAAGCAAACTATATAGCTCTATAAATCTAGTTGAGTCATTGGTATTACCGGAGGAGGAAATAATAGACTCAGCACCAGCCCATGATGTGTAACTATGCCTCGTCAGAACAGCATTGGCTTTAGAAGCTGATGCTGCAGAACCTCAGAAAGACATCCCCAAAATTAGGGGATTGGAACAAAGTAAGAATTACTGTGAGATACCAACTCACCTGCAATATAATTTAAAATTGAACCAAATATTAAAATATGAGAAAATGCAGTGCTAAGAAAGGTACATTAAATATACTTTTTAAATAAGTTTTGTTAATGTCATTGAAACTCCATTTTCCACAGAAGCAGCTTCTGTACACAAACAGCTGTAATGATGCTGTGTTAGCACGTGGCACCTTGATTCTGACTGCACTGCAGATGGCATGATACCCTTCCAAATTACATTCAACCTGAGTCTACAAAGGCATAATTAGTCCATACAAGGTGGTTTTGTCTATACTTCACTGCCAGCTTTATTTAAATTGCTCCATTGAAATCAGAAAAATAACCATAGAAATACAATAAGTAACTGCCACTCTTCAATGGTGTTTTAAAAGAGGCTTTAACAAAAACATGGCTTCTTTTGTCTATTTTGATGCAGACAGAGTATATCTTAGACTCATTTTCTCCCTGATTCCTCTGCGATCGCTGGCATAAGACTGCATACTCTTAGCTGAAGAAACAGTGGCTGGATGGAGAACATGTACAGGACCTGAACAGTGGCAGCCTCTCTGTCCCCGTCATCACTACGACCAGCCAGGGCCCAAGGGCCCAGGGCAGCACAGGGCATCAGACCCGTGAAACTGCAGATCAGAGGCAGATAGTCTTAATCTTCTGCTGGGGTGTAGCTTGGTGCACAGCCTAGGGCTGCCAGTTGGTGGGTGGCCTCCACCGCTAGTCATATAATCAGACTATAATGTCGCAAGCAGTTCCTATATCAAGGCCAGATAAGACTCTGACATTCGTGCAAGCACAGCATTTCATTCCTCTTGGCTTCACATTTCCATTAGAAAAAACCTGCAATAGAAAAACAGCCCTGGCTGGTATAGCTCAGTGGATTGAGCGCTGGCCTGCGAACCAGAAGTTCGCCAGTTGGGTTCCCAGTCAAGGCACATGCCTGGGGTGTGGGCCAGGTCTCCAGTAGGGAGCATGCGAGAGGCAACCAATCGATGTTTCTCTCACACACTGATGTTTCTCTCCTTCTCCTCTCTTTAAAAATAAATACATAAATAAAATCTTTTAAAAATAAAGTTAAAAACGAAAAACACTGTGGCATCTCCATTCCTCTGCAAGAGCAGAGACGTATCTGATGAGTTTGGAAGAAGTAGCTGAGAAGGGTTTCCTTTTTATGTCTGGATCCTCTTTTATGTCTAGATCATGTTGACCAAAAAACAAGGGATACTCTGGTCACCCCTGACATACCACAGGGAGGCCTGAAGTCCTCTCTGGGACTTGATGACGAAGGGTATCTAAGGCAAGACTGAAATGTTATGAATTGAAGATTCGAAATCACATTCTCTGATTGCCTTCATCAGAAATCAAACTGATTTTCTCTCCCTTTTTCATTTCAGTCTGTGTAACTGTGTCTTGTTTTTTCAATTGGTTCTTATTTCAACATTGCAAAAGAGGAGTGTTACATAATGAACTCCTAACACTTCCCTCGCTCCTGCACGCCGACAATGTCGGGCTGCCTCCCTGGGCTGAGAGAGAGCCCGCCTTTCCTTTGCCCTCATCAAAGTAGGCTCCAAGTGTCTCGACCCCTCAGTAGGCTGATCACAGTTCGACAGCTGAGGGACTGACAGAAAACTTCGGTCCAGCAGTGGGTGACCTTGCCAGCTCTCACCTCTAGGAGGATTTTCAGCCTCCTTGCAAGGGGGTCGGTATATTAAGAGCCTGCTGGTGAACTTTTGGATGCACAGCCAAGAAATGCAATTTTCTCTCCCTACCGAGAGATACTACTGTCTTTGTCCGGCCTTCAAAAAACAGATGGAGGAGGCTATGCTTCTTAACCCCTTCTCCTATCAAGAACAAAAACTATAGTTTAATACTGATGTTTTCAAAAAACACAGAACAAGAGTTATTTGGGAGGCCAGGCACAGTCCTTTACATAACACCATACCTTTTGTCCTGATCTTCTTGGCTGTCACTTGATTTGCTTATAGGCAGCAGCCTCTTGTCTCGAGGAACCTGGAAACATCAGCAACCATCAGTCAGACTTACACAGATGCAACTGTGACTATGTACAGGGTTAGATACCAGCATAGGCAAAAAAAAAAACAAAAACAGAAAACTGAAATGGAACCTTCTCCAGAAGAAGGTGGCAGGTTTTCTACAGCCAGGAGATGGTTAAAGGTTACATAGGTATGATGACAGTGGACTGGACACAAGTGATGCTAACCAGAGGCCACACCAGTCACGATTCCATTGTGCTCTTCTGGCACAAGCGGCTCTCCAGGACCTGCCCATCTCCCGAGCCCGCCCCACCTTGGGGGCAGATGGAAAAGGAACCTGATAAATGAAGGAAAACATCTTAGAGCTATAGCAAGCCTCCTGCTTAAGAACAGGGACTGACCCTGTACTCTGATGAGGGGCTGCAGGTGCTGACATGAAGGACAGCAAACTGGGCATGGACCTACATCCAAGATCACTCTACCCAGCAAAGCATCTAATTTCGAATCAAAGGACAGATAAAGAACTTCCCAGACAAGAAAGAACTAAAGGAGTTCATCACCACCCAACCAGTATTACATGAAATATTAAAGGCTCTTCTTTAAGAAGAAGAAAAAAAGATAAAAAATATGAACAACAGAATGGCAACAAATACATATTTATCAAAAATTAACCTGAAAGACAAAATAAATGAACAAGCAGAATAGAAACAGAGATACAGAGAACATTTTGACAGTTGCCACACAGAAGGGGGATTAGGGGGGTGAGTGAAAGAGGTGAAGGGATTAAAGGACAAATTGGTTCTCTACAGAATGGTCATGGGCATGTAAAGTACAGCGTATGGAATAGAGTCAGTAAGACTGTAATAGCCACGTGTGGCATCACATGGGTATAAGATTTACTGGGACGATCACTTAGGAAGTTATATAATATCTAATCACTGGGGTGTGCACCTGAAACTAATATAATCTTGTATATCAACTGTCACTGAAAAACAAAAAGTGATTAAAAATGAATGAATAAATAAATAAAATAAAAGAGCATTTACAAGAAGCATTTTTCTTCTGAATTCCCCTAGCAACTCTTACGGTTTCCGCTCACCTGAAGACATACACAAGCCCAGTCAGGGGGACTGGGGAGACCACATAGCAGGGTGGCTAAGAGTCAGGACCTAGACTGAACCGCCTGGGATCAAATCTCTGGCTCTGCCACTAACTAATGCTGCTTCACTTTTCTTATTTGTAAAACAGGCTTACTGGCAGTGTTATACCTCACAGGCTTGGGGTTTTTATGATAAAGTTTTTTTTAATTGAATATTAATTGCATTTGTTTCATTACCATTTAGTCCCCTTTCCCCTGCCCTCCCCCCAGCAGTCACCACACTGTTGTCCATGTCTATGAGTCCTTTGTCCTTTTTGCTCAATCCCTCTACTCCCCCGAACCTCCCTCCCCCACTCGCTGTCATCTGCTCTCATCTATGAGTCAGTCTCTGTTTTGCTCTTTAGCTCAGTTTGTTCATTCGATTCTACATATGAGTGAGATCATATGGTATTTGTCTTTCTCTGACTGGCTTATTTCACTTAGCATAATGTTCTCCAGGTCCATCCATACTGTTGGGAAGGGTAAAATTTTCTTCTTTTTTATGGCTGAGTAGAATTCCAATGTGTAAATATCTCAGAGATGTTTTATCCACTCATTTATTGATGGACACTTGGGCGGCTTCCACATCTTGGCAACTGTAATTAACACTGCAAGGAACATAGGGGTGCTTATGTTGTTTCAATTAGTGTTTTGAGTTCCTTTGGATATATTCCCAGAAGTGGGATTCATGGCGTTTTTAGTTAAACGAGTAAATTTTTTAAAAGTATTTAGATTGTATGGTACAATCTAAATAATTTATATTTATTAAATAGATATAAAATAAATCAATTACAAGTCCTTCATTCACATGTCAATGTTGAGAGTCTACAATATTCCAGACATTTTGCTAAGTGGTAGATAGAAATGAAATTAATAAAACATAGCTCCTGACATCTACTGAAGATGATACATACATAAGCATAAAATTTCTATACCAAGCACCCCATCCACATTCATAGCTGCATTATTCACAATAGCAGGTGAAAACAAACCAAATGTTCATCTCCAGATAAATAGATAAACAAAATGTGGTGTATAACATACAATGGAGTATTATTCAGCCTTTAAACAAAATTTCCGTATGTGCTATAATGTGAATGAGCCATGAAGAGATTACATTAAATCCCATGTGACTCAAGTCCACACACTCCCCTCTGAATGCCTGCCTCCAGGTTCCACCTCCAACATCTCTTCCCAGACTCCTGCATCAGTCTCTGAACTGTTCCCTTCGCCTCATCTCTGCAAACCCATTCTGGATCTGTTAAGAAACTCCAGAGTGATCTTAAAAAGGTAGGTCTGATCCCATTATGCTCTTACATAATACTCTTCAATGTTCCCTGTTGGTCTCAAGAACATGGCCTCCAGAAGCCTCCCCTCAACTTCAGCTGCCCCCATCGCTGCCACACGGACAGCCACACTGCCTCTCTGACCACGCACCCTCCTCTTGCAGCAGAGTCAGCACACAGAGTCCTCTCTGCCTGGAACACACCCACTCGCCTACCCCATCCCACTCATGCCTTCTCCAGGCTAATTTGTGAGCATACTTCAAGTCCCGTCTAAATGTCCACATCTCAGATTAGACTACAATCTCCAGGAGCGTCCCCCTTGTACATGGTTTTGTCCCAAGCGCCTGGAACGTAGCAGACCCTCACAAAAAACATGTTGAAAGAATGCATGGCTCAATCAAAATGGCCTGGAAAATACAAAACCCAAGAAGTAGGAGAAATAGGGATTCCCAACACTGAAACACGTCAGCACCCCCCAGTCTCATGGAGGTGCGTGTCACTATTGTCGAGGTGCACTGACTGATGAGGGCTCTGAGCAGGCTGCTCGGTGTAGGACACGCTGCAGCAAAGACCACTGCTCACTTTCCGGTGTGCTCCCATCTGGGCCACTCTGGACCGCCTTTACCTTTGACGTCCTAGAGACTGTCCTCCAGAGAAACTGAGACCTCTGAACTCCAGCCCCTCTCTTGAGTCTAGGTCCACCTTCCTATCTACCAAACATCCCTACCTGGACATACTACAAGCACATCAAGTACAGCATACAATTATCTTTCTCCTCATCACCTTTCTTCTGTGCTCCCCCCTTGGTTAATTAGTCATGGGGTTCCCCCACCAACTCTTTCTCTCTCACACACATACACACATACAGTTGCCAGCCTTTATTCAAACAAAAACTTAATGATTTCCTGAACACAATGCTTTGTCTCTGTTTAGTGTTTATTTTGGTGGCTGACTTAAGGAGAACCTCGTAAGTGCTGACCCAGGGAACCCCACTGTCATGTTTATGCCAGGTCTTCAACATTTTCTATCTGGGCGATTGCAATGGACGACTCACTGGACCCCCTGGCCCATAACCACCTCCCTGCTGCTGCGGCTGCTGCCGCCACTGCAGTGTGCACAGATCCTTCCTGCAGTCTATCGGGCCGATGTTCCAAATCCTCCAGTATTGGAGGAAATGGTGCCAAACAGTATGACAGAAGAATTTCAAGGCATTTTATTTTCTTCTTAAAATGGAAGGCTGTTAACAAAACAGCTTATAAATGTTTATTAAGTTATTTATTCACTCATCTATCCAGCAAAAAGCAAGGCCACATGCACCCAGTGCTGGACACCTATTTGAGAGAATAAAGCCCAGTCCACCAAGGGGGCTCTTTCAGAGGGATCTACCACCTTTCGGATCAATCTTCACAGCCCACCCCCGTCTGACCCCCATCACCACCGCAGTTCAGCAAAACTGACTACTTGGATTCCACCGAGTGCAACCCGGGGTTTGATACTTCATGTTTCCCCATCTCCTGCTCCCTTAGCCCGAAATACTTTCTCTCCAACTGTCCGCCTGACAAACCCTCCTCTCCATCCCGGCAGAGCAGGTGCTGCTTCCTCTGGAAAACCTAAACTCTGTGGGAAGGAGTCAGCCCCTCCTCACTGCCCGCAGAGCACATCCCTTTTACAGCACTTCCTGCCACGAGTTGTGGTTATAGTTTCATGGGGTCGTGTCTGGCCCAGACTGTGACCTTTCAGAGATGTTGAACTGGCTTTTGGTATCTAGCCCACCTCCACAATATCTATCCGCGTGGCTCGAAGGTCACAGCTAGTGAATAAATATTTATGGGCTGGATGGATGAATAGTTGGATGAATAAACTGATGACCATACAAATGGGCAACAGAACTGACAAAAACACTGGTTTTCAGCAGTACTAGGTTCTCAGAACAGCTGGAAACCAACTGGCCAGGAAAGCATATTTTCACTAGACCTGGAATCTGATGATTATGAACCACCAGCTTCATCAGGAAAAAATAAAGTGAGCTAAAGTAAGTTAAACTACTTTTAAAAATAACTTATTAATGGAATTTGTCATGTTTTTCTGTCGCACTCAAAATTCATCAGAAGGCTTTAGCACTTCTATTGGCAAGTAGCTGCAGGTGGATAGAAAACTGGGCTAGTACTTGAGCCCCTAAATTCCGAAAGATCCTGGCAATTTGGCCATTTTTACAACAGATACCATCTAAGTAGCTTCAAGTGTATATTTTAACAATTTGAACCCATTTTCAAATGGGTTAAGAAAAAGAATTTTTAACGGTGAGCAGTGTTATGGACTGAATTGTGTGCCCCCGAAGTTCAGAAGTTGAAGCCCTAATCCCCAATGTGACTATATTTGGAAAAAGGAACGTTAAGGAGGTAATTTAGTTTAAATGAAATCATAAGAGCAGGGCCCCAGTCCAGCAGGGCTGCTGTCCTTATAAGAAAAGACACCAGAAGTACACACGCAGAGAGGAAAGGCCACGTCAGGACACAGCAAAAAGATGGCCAGCTGCAAGAAAGAAAGAAAGAGAAACCAACCCTACCAGCACTGTGATCTCAGACTTGGAGCCTCCAAAATTCTAAGAGGAAAGAAAACAAGCCTGTGGTTCAGCCGCCCAGCGCATGGCAATCTGTCATGGCAGCCTGAGCAGACTAGTACAGTGTAACGGAACAGACATTAGGATTGACCTGTGACTGTGGGTCAGTCCCACCTAGTTGCCTGAACTATAAAATATCAAATATAGTGATGGGCTTCACCTCAGTGCTCCTAGGGTGACAGTTTTAAAATACAGGTGGAAAGACTTGGACATCGCCAAGGAAACACCAAGTGGCAATGACACGGGTGCTGCGGAAGGGCCTGCAGGCCCTGGGAGCCCGGGAATGGGAGGCCGCAGCAGCTTTGGGAGAGGGTTTGTCAGCAGCATCTGGGGTGAGATAGAAGATGTGTTTGGGACAAGGTCACAGCCATGTTCAGGTCCAGGCCGGGGCTGTGGAGCTCACAGAGGCAAGGCTGGGGCAAGGAGTAGATGTCCTTCACCACACTGGGCCACCTGATCAAGTACATGAAGATCAAGTTTCTGGAGGAGAGCCTCTCTTCTCCCTGCCCATCAGGGAATCTGAGATCATCAACTTTTTCCCGGGGGCATCCCTCTAAGACGAGGACTTGAAGATCACGCCGGTGCAGAAGCAGACCCATGCTGGCCAGAGGACCCAATGTGAGGCATTTGTCAACACTGAGACTACACTGGACATGTCATCTGGGTGTTAAATGCTTCAAGGTAGTAGCCAATGTTATCTGTGGAACCACCATCCTGGCCAAGTTCTCTAGTGCCCCTGTGCAGCAAGGCTACTGGGGAAAGAAGTCTGGCAAGGCTTCTCTCACACCAGCTCTTGCAAGGTGACCAGGGCTGTGGCTCTGTGCTGGTCACCTCATCTGCCCTCATGGGCCCTGGCCTGTTCTCAGTCCTGTGCCCAAGAAGTTGCTGCCGAAAGGTGGAACCGCCTCTGAGACCTACAGCTGTCTCACCCCCAAGCTCTGGAAAGGGCCCGTGTTCGCCAAGTCTCCCTGTCAGGAATTCACTGTCCATCTTGTAAAGACCAGTCCCAGAGTGTCTGTGCAGAGGATGCACAGTGGCTGCCACATTGTTTTATATAAAATAATATAATAATAATAATAAGGTGAATGAAGCGTGTTTGAAAAAAGACTTTGAAATGTATAAAGTATCATACTATGATATGCCTTTGCCAGCCTCTAAGGACAAGGACCAGCATTTCTTGAGTGCCTACAGTATGTCACATGCTCCTGTATGACCATGCCCAACACTGTCCCCTAAGGCACAGGTGGCAAACACAAGGCCGGAGGGCCCAGTCCGGCCTCCACCTTGTTTTATCCCGCCCAGCACCTTGTTTCCACCCAGCAGCAGCGCCGAGCTCTCACTTAACTGTTAAGAAGTAGTTACATGCGTACAGTCCTAAAATTACATTCGGCCCTTTAAAGGCAACCACGAGGCTGCTGTGGCCCCCAGTGTAAATGAGTGCGACACCCCTGCCATGAGGAATAACGCTCCAACCTCAGGAGTAAGAAAAAATGGTGATTATTACAAAAAGAATCAAATAGCATTCCAAAGAGGTATTAAAAGTCTGTCAAGTTTAAATAGTAAGATGGCAAGAAATGTTACAATGACTTCCCAGAATTTATCCTCAAAAAATAGACTCTCTTCTCGTTAACATTTTACTTTACTCCAGAAAGAAGGGCCACCCTCAATGCAGATATAACTTTGTTGTCGCTGTAAAACCAGCATGAATAAGCCATGAACATCCACAGGGCTGACTGGGGCCCGAAAATGATCACTTGGACACAGAGTGTTGGGAAACAAAACTAATTCTTTGATATTTAATACATTTCAAGCAAAAATAGAGTAAAGCTTGTATGAAATAAAAGAAGTCATGTAACTATACTCATCTAAGAAAATACTAAGTCCTAGAAAATATTGTATATTCTAAATTAATCCTGGAAAATAATAATTTAAGAGAAATAGACTTGGATACAAATTGAGATTCATGTAAAGTCCCCACTCTGCATCTTAAAATATTTACAGAAAACAATATGTCAATACCTTTAAATATTAAAAATGTAGAAGAGGAGAAGTAATCCAAGTTTTATAATTACTAATACTTAATTATTCTCTGGGAAATAAAATACATTGATTTCATAAATTACTAATGGTTTTTGTTATGTATGTTTGTCTTTTTCATGAAAAGAATTGCCATATAATAAAGATATATAAAATTATGTCCATTTCACAGCAATGGAATAAAATCTATTTGAAAAATAGAACAATGTATTTCTTCAAAATATATCTTAATATATTTCCTCCAAGCCTTATAAAACTATTAACTAACATATTATTTTAACATAGTTATAAAAGTTAGAAAAAGATGTAATAATGACCTGTGTGATTAAATCAGAGTGATTTTAATGATGTATTACTTGATATTAAAAATTGATGAAATTATCAAGTTTTAACTATTTTTTATTATAGAAAACTGGGGTTTCTTTCTAAGGATGAGACCATTTCCAGACATGATGCATGATCACAGGCATCCAACAAAGCTGAACCTCTGAGAAATGACCTCATACAGCAGGCAGCCTAACTGACAAGTTCTGTGTTTCTGTACCATCCTCAATAGATTTTGAAATTTTCACTGCAAAACATGTAGAATTCATCCTTGCATTTTTCAAATGAGCTCCTCAGTCAGAAAAAGAATTAAAAGTATAAAACAACCACAGACAAGACAAAGAGAAAGAAAAGCCTGCCATGAAACCATCTTTGTTTTTCAGGCTCATTTTTTTTTCAGGTGCTACTTCTTTGCTGGAGGAAAGCGCCCTACTTACATGAAATGTAGTCTAGGCCCTAACACATACTGTCCCCTACAGCCCAAGTCCCCAAAGCAAAATCCCCTCTTGCTATGGCAGGAGCCGTATTGGGAGTTTTACGCCTTCACAAGAGGGCTGTCGAATTCTGCCAACTCTGCTCCCTTGGTAAGGGAAAAGAGTCAGCAGAGACTAGCAAGGGTACCAGTGGAATATTCTTCATATACTTCTCTAGCACTTTCTGATAATAAGATGCATTTATCTGAGTTATTAATATCCTCATTTAAAATACCCTAGATGGTCTGACTTGTCAGTGACTCAACCTTGTTTTGCATCTTAGAAAAGGCGAGCTTGGCTTGGTTTCCATTCACCTCCCCGCAGAAGGAGATCTCCTGGGTGTTTTGGTGGGGAACATGGAAGAAGCTGGAAGAGGGATGAGTAACTGCAGGGAACTTCAGTGGAAGAGCAGGCCCGGGGGCACTCCCAGTTAGAGGTGGAGGGAGATCACTGGAAAGCATGAAATCTCTGGTTTAAAAGAGAAACAAGGAAAAACACAACTTGCAGAAGTGGACACTACTGAAGGGAAATAGGAAGTAGTAAGCAGGAAGGAAATAGGAAAACAAGCCCGAAGCCTGCTCAGAGGGAAATGGCTCCTTCTGGGAGATCTGCTCATGACAGAGGGAGAGGGGAATGTGGGGAATCAGTTCTTACTCTGAAATAAAAAGTTCACTGTGTCCAACCAGCACCATGAGCACCACCAGTCCCACCTTTGAGCTGATTCCCAGCATTAGCCAATGGTGTTTACCACCAAAGCAGGCAATAAGTCTTCTCATTCTGTAAATACCTGTTGATTTTGTACACTTCACTGGTTCTAAGGGAGCAGGTCATACCAAATACATGGTCCTTTCTAGTTGAGACAAACCATTGTTTGTTGTTTGATTTCTTGAAATACTCCTATTTTGAGGGTACTGTAGGGCAGGTATTTTTGTAATATAAGTATATTTATTTTGTTTTAAGGGCTTTTCAAAATATTGAGTACCCATAAAAACAAATGGAGACAGGGTTCTAACAAAATTAGGTTTTAGAATTGCTACAAAAGTCTATATCCCAAGAGCATTCCTTATAAAACTGAAAAGTCTAGAAACCCTGAATGCTTCTTTCAAAATGGAAATCTAAAGGCAATCTAAATGCCCAACAACTGAGCAATCACTAAACTATGGTATAGCCACGCAATATAATATTCTTTAGTCATGAAAAATAATAATCATAATGCAAAAGTATTTGTACTATGGCATGAGTAGGAATTATATGTTCCTTATGAGTAGGAGTCAAATAGCATGTGAACAGAGAACGCAGAAGAAAACCTCCTCTAATGGGTGGCAAGTTGTGCTTCATCGAAATCAAGGAGCCAATAAGAACAGATAGAGGCTGAATTCTGTAGGAGTGTGGAAATACTATTTGCTCTCTAAAGGGAATAAAGATTCTGTCTCTTCTTCCCACCATTGAGGGGAGGCCCTGGAGGCAGGGAGAGGAGGGACAGGGGCCGCAGGGACTACCTTGTAATAGTCGTACAGCAGGCCAAGGGCGGCGGCACTGTCCTCGTCACCATTGATGCTCATCATCGCCTTGGTGGCCGCAGTCAGCGGATTCTCCAAATATGACTTCCAGGCTTCATCCTCACTAGTGTAGGCTCTTCGGGTGTTGAACGGAGGGTCCGTGGGCATGGGCACTAAGGCCACCAGTCGTTTATTACTGTAAAAGCAAGAGAGATGAGAGGTTGGTGATCAGACAAGTATTCCTTTTCCCACTAATAATGTACACATTACATGGTGAATTTGTACCTCCCCATAATGGAGGAGAAGGATGATTGAAACTGAAGTGACTGCCACAGTGCATTGATAAAACCACTGATTTATTGATTTCACCATTGAATTCTCATATTGAATTCTCATTCATATGAGAATGATCTTTCAAAGGTTGTACAAGTAATATATGTTGGTCCCCTTCACACTTGGTTATCCATAGCTAATCATTCTAGGAGCCAAATTATTTTATTTGATTCTTCTTTTTTTAAAAAATTTTATTTATTTATTTTTAGAGAGAGGGGAAGGGAAGGAGAAAGAGAGGAAGAGAAACATTAATGTGTGGTTGCCTCTCGCACATCCCTCATTGGGGACCTGGCTTGCAACCCAGGTACGTGCAACCCTGACTGGGAATTGAATCAGTGACCCTTTGGTTCGCAGGCCAGCACTCAATCCACTGAGCCACACCAGCCAGGGCTGATTATTCTTCATTAATGAATATTACAGTGAAACCCTGTGAGGAAGCAGATTTCATTTAAACTCTCTGAGTTCTAATTAGAAATAAGTGCAATAATACATAATCACCCATTAATGATGATTAAAAATCATCTCATCTAGTTTTAATTAGAAATTACTAGAGAATAAAAGACTAATCCAAGTTCCTTAATTAAAAAAGGCAAAAGTAGTATAAGCTACTTTGCAAATAAGACATATTGTAGATATGCTGCATATTAAGGATAAGAAGCAAAGAGCTGAGACAGTATTGCCACAAAATCCTACTGTATTTAAGTGACCCAGAACCTACAGGTTACAAAAATCGCCATGGAGAATGAGGAGCGTGTCTAGAGAATTTTCAGTAGAGACTTCAGTAGAGATTTGATAGAAAGGAGCAGGAGCAATCACTTGCCAACCCTAACCAAACCAAACTTCAATAAAGCAGCAATTGACAAGGCCATTTCTTAAGGAGGATGTGATAATGACTCAGGTATCCGAAGACCACGGCATTCTTCCTCAGCTCCCAGGTCTAGGCCCAGCCGTCAAGCCATCAAGCTGAGGAGCCCACAGCGGCTTTGGCATCCATCTCAGGCCCTCATTCACTTGTTCTTTGAAATGGAAATAAAATGGAACAAAGAGACATTGTATTTCAACAACAACACCTCTTTCCACTCACAGTAACATGACAGGGAGGAGTGACAGGATTGGCAAAGGAAACACCTACACTAATTAATGGAAATTCAGCCACCAAGCATCTAGATGGTCCTTCGGTTCTAAAAGAGGTCCCTTTTTGTTGGCATGTCTCCAAGGACCTTCCTGTGGTAGAGGGTCTCCCAGCTCACTTTGTGATGGAGAACTGCTATGAACCCACAATGGTGTGTTGGGGGTCACTTATGTGCTGGTGTGCTGCCGTGCACTGGTATAAGTGCACCAAGATTGGTGTTAGAAAATAACACCAACATTGGGAAGACGTGTTTGGGGATGTAGGGTGGGAAATTCACCATCAGCGGGTTGAAATTCTCGGCGAAATGGTCTCCAGGCCCCTGATTTGAACTCTTTGTGCCTGTGGTTTGGTAGAACTGATTTGGGATAAAAGAAAGGATAGTAACCCAATTGCAAATGAACCGGATTAAAAGGATAAAATCAAGTTTCTGGAAGTAAATGAGAAAAGCCCTGTGGAAGGGTTTATTAACCATTAGGAAGGACGGTGACTCAGGAGTCGCAGAGCCCTAGACGGGAGTCCTCGCTCGCTGAGCTGGGGTTTCTTTGCACCTCAAGTAAGGACAGCAGTGCCCACCCTGCTTACTTCACCGTGTGATTGCGAGAATCACATAAACAAATGGATAAAATAGAGTTTTGTAAACTGTATGTGCTGTGCAAATAACAAGTATTGCCGTCACTGCACATGTCTACGTTCCTGAGAAATATGTGGACACGCCGATTTTGGGTAAAATTTATTATAATTTAAAAGTGCTAGCAATAATTATTAGTAAAAGAAAAAGTGAAGTTTAAGTATTTATGAAGAGCCCAATAGGTACCACACTCCCTGCTTCTTACGGAGGACACGGTGGCAAATGAAACTGGTACTGCCCCGTAGCCATGTGGCTTGCTGTCCAGCGGGGCAGAGAGTACCACAGGAGGGATGACTGTGAGGCAGAGAAATGGGCGGGGTCATGAGGTAGATGACAGAGGTGACTAACCTAATCAGAGGGTCAAGGAGGAACCGAAGTTTCTACAAAGCCCTGAAGCATAGGTAGCACTGTGCTGGTCAGTTTTGAAATGGCACATGTGGGAGATATTTCTTAAGGTGAAGAAGATTTTGGCAGAATAATAAAATCTTCTGACAAGAGGGGCCCCTGTGTACTCATTTTGAAAGCTCAGCTAGGGAAATTTGCATGCTTTGATCTAACAGCAAAATAATAGAATTTTTTGTGTTGTAAAAGTTATTAGTCATATAGGATAAGGTTGGATTTGGAGGCAGAAATGTTGGTGGACTACTAAAAGTCTACAGTTAGAAGAGATAAGGACTCTGGAGAGAACCCAGAAGGCAGAGGTGGCGGGCCCATGTCGTTCCAGTGCCAACCGCTCCCCGGCTTCCACAGTTGTTGAGTTGGGGCCTCCCTGGGTGCCTGGTCTGCAGCCTCCACTTAAAGAGTGAAATACAGGATTCTGGGTCCTACTCATTGCCTGTGAGGGCCCAGGCGCCATGCACACTTCCTAAACATGTTCAGTCCTACAAGAAGGAATGAAGAGCTTCCTGTTATTTGCAGTTACCTCACTGTCAAAAAAGATAAGGGTTTTATTCTGCTTCATGCCTAGGAGAAGCACATATTGCTGGGGGAAGGGAGTGTTCATTACAACACTGGCTGATTTCCAAAAGTTTTCCAGGAAGTGCCAGGCTGACGAATGACAGCCAACTCTTGACATACACTAAGCAGTGTCCCACTTCACTGGCAAGATTTTTCCTTGAGTCTTCCTTCTTAAAGTCCCTGCTCCCTCCTGCTGAGCTTCCTGGATTGCTGATTTCATCTGTTCCCAGCACAAACGCTCCCTCGTCAATTTGGATTCATCAGCCTTTCCCCAGTGATGAAATGGCTGATGAATCCTTACACGATAGATAGGAAGAAATATTCTGGGAAAGCACACTCATTTCTTTTAAGATTTTTGATGGCCAAAGGGGCCTTTTGTGCTCTTCCTGTGAATTGCGTAATGACTTTGGTATTTTTTTCTTCACAGATTATAATCTCTCTGGTACAAAGCACTGTTGAATAAAGAGCTGGGTTTTATAACAACAGGATAATCTCTCTGGTACAGTGAACATAAAATGTAGACTGGTTGAAAAAGGAAAGTTTCACAGAGCAGCTTTTGCCAAAATTTGGAACAAATTCTGTGGTTCATTTCATCACTGTTCTAACTCTGCTACGATCGACTTTTTAAATATACTTTGTGTAGCTTTAGTTATATTAGGTTCTGGGTGGCCTCAAACACCGAAGTGTAAAGAGCAACTCTAAACTCGATCTCTGGATCTTCTCTGGAAAAAAGTCTAGATTTGGCACCTGAGTATTCACAGCAAGGCTAAGGCTGTGTTAGATCATGCATATACCTTTTCTGTCCACATTTGTTTTGCTATCCACTGCTTGATTTTGTGGATGTTGGGAGCACAGTGGAGAGATGAGTCATCAGCTTTGTAGTGAAAGAGGTGGGGCAGTCACGTGACTGAAATCACAAGCAACAAGCCCAGAAACGCTCCAGATCGCTGTCAGAGGCTGCCCGCCACCCCCTGCCCCCAGCATTAATAAGAGTCTAAGGCCGGAATGCTTTCCTGGAAGAAGCTTATGAAACTTAGCACACGTCTTTACCTCCTACAAGTACGTGTAGTAACAGTCAGCAAATCCAGGCATAAATCTACTTCACTTGGGACCACAAAACACAAATGAGGAGAGTGAATTGTTCATACAAATTATCATTTGCAATCCATCTCTCATCATCCATTTCTTTCATAACTTCTAGAAGGAGCACCGGTTTTGTTTTTCCTGTTGTTTTGGTTTTTGTTTTTTCTGTAATCTAGGGGGAGGATGGTTTTGGACTTGAATAAATCTCAGTTTTAATCTGTTCTGTCCCAGGAGATCTCCAGTGATACTTATCTCCTAGAACAGGGGTGTCAAACTCATTTTCACCAGGGGCCACATCAGCCTGGAGGTTGCCTTCAAAGGGCCAAATGTAATTTTAGGACTGGATAAGAGTAACTACTCCTTAACAGTTAGGCGAGAGCTTGGGTAGAAACAAGGTGCCGGGCCGGATAAAACAAGGTGGAGGGTCAGATTTGGCCAGTGGGGCTTGTGTCTCCCACCTGCAGCCTAGAATTTTCCCTCCAACATTGTTCCAGAATTGCCACAACAGCATGTAGCAAAAGCCATAGTAGAGCACTTTCAGAGTTAGATAATACAGTCGGCAACTTCCACCTTGGTATAAATCACTTTAAATCACTGCCTCTCTCTTTCTGTCTCTCATCTCTATCTCTATCTTTCTCCAGGAAAAGCAAACTGGCATATTGTGGGGAGGAACTGAAGCTTTGACCAATAGCTAGTGAGGAACTGAGATCCGCTGACAACCACATGAATGAGCTCAGTAGATTCTCTAGAGCCGAGGCTTAAATTAGTCATAGCCCCAGATATGAACCTAACTATAACCTTATGACGGACCCTGAGTCAGAACCAGTCAGCTCAACTGCTCTCGAATTCCTGACTATCAGAAACCATGAGGTAGTTAATATTTGCTCTTTTTCCTGCTAAGTTTTAAGATATGTTTCACAGCAACTGGCTGGTGTAGCTCAGTGGATTGAGCGTGGGCCTTTGAACCAAATGACCATGGTTCAATTCCCAGTCAGGGCACATGCCTGGGTTGCAGGCCAGTTCCCAGCAGGGGACGCATGAGAGGCAACCACACATTGATATT